ATTTTTTAAAAATTTAAGATGATTAGGGAATGCCTGAAAGAGAAAAACGTAATCCGTTGTGTATTTTTTTCTGCTGCATTTTCAGGGCTCACATTTTTCCTTTCATTGTGCAGACAAGCCGCTAGAGGGCACTGTATAGCTCTGCTTCCTCAAATCCTGTGTGAGATGCTGAATGTGACCTCTAATTTCTCCACTGAGGACGCCTTATTTTAATGGCGTCAGATAGTGACAACCCATCTTCCTGAAGAAAGCTGCAAACCTGTTCTTATCCCAGGGCCAGTTCCCATTCCCCAGGTTACTAAAAGCTGATTGGTCCTCAGGTGACGGAGAGCAAAGCATTCACTGCTTTCCTGTGCTTACCTATGTCACCTAGTCCCCAGCCCTGAAGGCTGGAGTTTACTGCCCCCCAGCCTCTGTAGGGCATTGTGTCAGTTGCTGGAAACAGAACAACGGAGACAGGACCCACCAATACAAAGGAAAGGATCGTTCAGAACAACCTGAGACAGGTGTTAATAAACAGGCCTGTGTCAACACTATAGGAGTTTAGAGAATTGTTAACAATGCGATTCTGCAGACAAGGGCAGTCATGGAAGAGAAAGTGCTCTCAGACTGTCACCAGTCCAGCCTGAAGAAGGTATGAAAGCTGAATTTTAGGCTGTTTCCTTTTCCTTTCCCCTGCCTGCCTTAGCAAGGGACCTCCATACTGGAGGGAACCTGAAGCTAGGATATGACATAGGTTACCGGAAGTGTATTTAAAAAATGATCAGCCCTTACACCCCAGGACTGCCCGTGAGAAGTTGCTTTCCTCTGCACTGCAATATTCATTTGTCATGTATTGATTTGAGAAATATTTATTGTCAAGTGTGTCCCAAGCGTTCATTGGTAAATAAGAGACAGCCATAGTCAGGGTGTGCCCACTCAGAAACTGTAATTCAGTGGTAACACAATGATTGCAAGGAAGTGTAATAAGTCCTATGATAAGGAGAGAAGATGGCACCATATGAGTATAGAGCAGGGGCACCTGACCAAGACAGTAAGTCAGGGAAGGCTTCATGGAGGAAGTACTATTCAATTGAGACCCTAAGCAGAACTGGAGGCCACCTAAAGAAGGAGTAGCTGTATTCCAGGTGACAGCAGCACAGCCCAGAGGAAAAAAGAATCAAATAGGATTGTATTTGTATATATACAGTTTTGAGATCTTGCTGTTTTCCACTGATCCATTTTATCCTGAGTCTCCATAACTTTAACTGTTTTTGAAAATACGACTTTAATTGCTGCTCTAATAGTCCGTTGTATGAGTAGTGACATTTATTTACCCATGTTCAGAAACAGCATTTTTAAGACTCATGCTAATTGCTCTTCCTTTGTCAATACAAAATCATGTGAAATCATTCTTACTGCTTATTTAAATATCAACATTTCCTTTATGTGACTGACTCTTGAGCACAATTCCTGCAACCCAACCTGATATCCAGCCACAACGAACACTGAATTTATGGAAGGTATTGATAAGGTATTGATTGATTACATATTGTTTAATTTTAACTTTTTTTTTTTTTTTTTTTTTTTGGGGGGGGGAGGAAGGCAGGAAGGAAGGGAAGAAGGACGGTAGGGAGGAAGGAAGGGATGAAGGAAGGAAGGAAGGGAGGAAGCGGGGGAGGGAGGGAGGGAGGGAGGGAAGGGAAGAAAGGAAATCAAGCAATGAAAGAGACATTGCCGACCTGGATCTAGAGGTTTACAAGTTGATTTCTTTTTTTTTGAGAGAAGGAAAGAAAAAAAAAAAATAAGTAAAGGAGAGGAAGAAAGAGGAAGAGAAAGAGGGAGAGTAAATGGAAATATTGCTTTATTTTGAAAAAATTGGGTATTAATAATGGCCAATCAATGTTTCATTTAAACTAATGGGTAGGTGTGATGTGGTATTGACAAGAATGTATATTTTGTGTATTTGAAGTGGAGAGCTCTATAAATATTTATTAAGTTTACTTGTTCTGGATCTGAGTTCGAGTCCTTGATATCCTTATTAATTTTCTGTCTCATTGAATCTAAGTCTCCTATCTGGGTGTTAGGATCGTTAGCTCTTGTTGTTGCATTGATCCTTTTACCACTATATCTTTGTTGCTTTAAAATCTATTTTATCCGATACAAGAATTGCAACTCCTGCTTTTTATTTATTTATTATTTATTTTTGCTCTCCATTTGGTTGGTAAATCTTTCTCCATCCCTTTGTTTTGAGTCTTTGTGTATCCTTGCATGTGAAACAGGTCTGGATGTAACATGCCGTTGGGTTTTGGCTGTGTCTTTGATTGGGAATTCAGTCAATTTAAATTTAGGGTTACTGCCATTTGATGTTGACTGGCTGTTTTATCCATTTGTTGGTGTAAATTCTTCTTTATGTTGGTGCTCTTTACTTTTGGTGTATTTTTAGAAAGGCTAATACTGGTTGTTTCTTTCTGTGTGTAATGCTTCTTTCAGAAGCTCTTGTAAAGCAGGCCTGGTGGTAATAAAATCTCCGAGTTCTTGCTTGTTCATAAAAGATTTTATTTTTTCCTTCAGTTGTGAAGCTTAGTTTGGCTGGATATGAAATTCTGGGCTGAAGGTTCTGTTCTTTGAGGATGTTGAATATTGGCCCCCACTCTCTTCTGGCCTGTAGAGTTTCTGCCGAGAGATCTGCTGTAAGTCTGATAGGCTTGCCTTTGTGGGTTATCCGACCTTTCTCTCTGGCTGCCCTTAGTATCCTCTCCTTCGTTTCAACCCTGGTGAATCTAACGATTATGTGCCTTGGGGTTGCTCTTCTTGAGGAATATCTTTGTGGTGTTCTCTGTATTACCTGGGGTTGAATGTTGACCTGCTTTGCTAGTTTAGGAAAATTTTCCTGAATAATATCCTGAAGGGTATTTTCCAGCTTGGATTCATTCTCTCCGTTGCATTCAGGTACACCTATCAAACGTAAATTTGGTCTTTTCACATAGTCCCACATTTCTTGGAGACTTTGCTCATTCCTTTTTATCCTTTTTTCTCTAATCTTTTCTTCACGTTTTATTTCATTAAGTTGGACTTTGACCTCTGATATCCCTTCTTCTGCTTGAACAATTCGAGTGTTTAAACCTGTGCATACTTCTCGGAGTTCCTGTATTGTATTCTTCAGTTCCATTAATTCACTCATACTCCGCTCTAAGTTGTCTATTCTCAATAGGATTTCATCAAGCCTTTTGTCAAAGTTCCTAGTTTCTTTACGTTGGGCTACAACATGTTCTTTTAACTCACCGAAGTTTGTTATTATCCATTCCTTGAAGAGTGATTCTGTCATCAGGAGGCGCTCGTTCTCCATCAAGCCTTGTTCCATTGTTGATGTGGAACTGTGATCATCTTTAGAGGGAGAGGCGTTCTGACTTTGAGTATTCTCAGCTTTTTTACGCTGGTTTCTTCCCGTCATTGTAAATTTATCCTCCTCTCGTCTTTGAAATTACCAACTTTCAGATTAGGTCTCTTGAGTGGACGTCCAGGTTGTTAGTTCCCAGGGCCAGAGCAGCGGCGTTAAAACTGATGGTGCTTTTCTGCCCAGGATTCTCCTGTCGGGCTTCCTTCTTGTTTCCGTAGTAGGCGACTCTGCCTTCCCGGGGCTCCAAACCTTGGTCAGAAGGGGAAGCGGTCCCGTTTACTCTGCTCCGAGAGCTGCCGCGCCGAGGTGCCGGCGGAACCGCTGCGCCGACCACGAGAGTCGCGCTGGCGACCCGTGTGTTTCCACCACTGGGGGATCTTCTGCTCCGTGAGCGACCAGACTTTGTCTGAAAGTGTGGCGTCCTCTAGTTCTCCGCGCCTTCCCTGAGAGCTGCAATCCCGGGATGTTAGCGATCGGCCATCTTGGATTGTTCTCTAATTTTAACTTTTTTATACATTTTGCTGCAGTTGTTTTTCATGAATTGGCAGGGCCTTAATAGGCGCTCTGGATTCTTATCCTGCTGCTCAGATTACCAGCTCCATGTCATTCATTCTTCCGTCTCCCCCAAGTCTGCATCTCTGCTCCCTCCATCCCCTAAGTCCCTCAGTCTCAGGCTCCTCCCTCTCTGGGATGCTCTGCTAATACTTATCTCCATCTTTTCTCCAGTAAATAATTTTTTTTCTCTGTGGCCCAGATTCCTGAAGCTGCAAACATTGGCTTCATAAATGATTTTTTTTAAAACCACACTTTGGGTAAAAATATAAGTATTATATATGTGGCAAATTGTTCATATAGCAAATTGATTTTCTGGGTCAGGCAGGAAAGACTTTCACAAAAATCTTATAGGAAGTAAGATGATTTAGATGGAGTATCTAATCAACACCTGTTGAAACATTTCAGATGTAATTTATATTCTTTGTTCTGCCTCCCTTTAAAACTGAGCTTCCTCAGATTTCCATACCCTTCAGTTTAACCTGCTTTAACAAGGTTTTGGGTCTGTTGGGTTTTGTTTCTGACTGTTTGCCTTTATTGTCTTGATATTCACTTATGCTTACTTATGCTTATTTCAGAGAGAAATGGCTCACTGGTTTCATAGCTGTCCAGGCACTAGCTATTCAGTTCAAACTCTATTTTCAATGAAAGATTTCTTGCGTCTCATGTCTCTTACGTTGCTGTGTGACTCACCATGAGTTTGGGAGTCTTTCAGAACCTCAGAACACTCAAATGCTTTAAATTCCTCAATTATGTCCATTTCACACATCGGAAGTCGCTTTCATTTGGACCACAGGATCTCGACATAGAAATGAGAAGGTCCATAGCTCCACAACAGGTACGTCAGTCTGGCACATGCCCTGGCCTCAGAGCTTCGCAGTCTGGTCCTTTGTCCGATTGGGTGACTCTTGTCTATCACCTTGCCATACCCACTTTACTTATCCAAAGTTAGTATCACAAATAGCAGCCCGTTCCTTGCAGTGAAAATTGTACTTACCATTTTCATAGGCCCAGTTAAGAAGATACCTGTGTATCTTTATTAACAGGCGCTTAACAACTTTGCGTCATTTAAAATGCTTCCCCTGCCTATTAGCTGATGATGGCCTCAGGAAGGTGGACCTGGAAGATAACAGCTAGCAGGCTGAGGCCAGACACTAACACTTGCAGTTGTCCTTGGTGGGTTTTTTGCACTGACTTGGGGAGCCAGCTCATGATCTCAGGATGTATGGAAGAATAATCTTTGTATTACTATTGTCAGGTAAGTGATTTTATTTTAGCTTGGTCCTGTTTTATTGGATATGAGATCATAGAATAAAATAGAAACGACCCTATTTTAGTTCTATCTTATTTGAATGAATAAATGAGTAGTATTTTCTATTCCAGTCTGGGGGATGGATTTTACTGGAACTCAGCTGCCAATGTGGGGGAAATGGTACAAGGGAGCCCAGTATTTATGGCTGAATCCAGTTTTCTGGTATGAGAAGCTTACTTCAATTCTAAATCTAGCCAGAAGTAAAAGAATTGTACCAAATGCTATGAGAAATACCTCTGTGTGAATGAATGCATTGCTTTGTTTGAGTTATAAGGAGATTCATTTCCAAACTGAAGAGTTATTAATGAAGGTTTTGGTAGCTATATGGCTTTGCGTTTTCCAAAAGTATAATTTTCTGCTTCTGCCAAATGGTGAGAAACCAAAAGTATGAACACTGAAGCTGTGGGGAGTTGTTCACTTCTCTGTGGGTCCATCACTAAAGTGTGACATTGGAAGAAAAAAAAAAACAAAACAACTCTTACTGGCTCAGGTATCATGTGAATTTTTGAAGAAATGTAAATCCATTAAAATAAAGAAATATCATAGGGTTATACTAAATTGTATTAATTCAATAATTTGAATTTAACTTTATTTAAATTTAATTATTAATTTCATGTATTAAGTTAACATGAGTTCGGCTTCTTTCTGAGAATGTTACAGTTAAACACCCTCTCAAGTGAGTGTTTATGTGTTAGCAAACCTACTGCCCAGCACACACATAAGGGGAGGCAGTTACTTGAAACATTCCGAGTCTATTAGACATTATTGTACCCTAAGTGAGAGCAAGTGTCAAGGATCTACTAAACACTCTGTAGCATGTAGGGAAGAGAGAGCAGCATTTGCTGAGGTACCCTAGGTAATAGTTAAGAGAACAGACACGAGGAACAGATAAAACTGGATTCAAATCTAGTTTTACTTCTCAAGGCTGGGGAATATGAAGGCAAATTATGTGCCCACATTTCTTTATGTGTCCTCATCTGTAAAATCAGGCAATGTGGATACTTACCTCAAAGCAACAGCATAAAGACCAAACCAAGTATTTAATGGAATGCACTTCCTGATGCCTGAGACGAAGTAAAATGTTCAGCTCACTACGCGTTTTCTGATTGATAATTATTAAAAATATAAGTATTAAAATAAGTAGTAGCTATCGATAATTATAGATTAGGGAACAAACCTACATATGTGATTGGTGATTTCTGAAAAGTCAGAGAGAAGAGAAAATTACAGAAAAATAGAAACAGAAGGCAAATAGTTTGAAGAAAAGAAAACAAATGACAGGGATGTGGTGCAATATTTGTATATATAGTCACATATTTGTAGTGCTACTACACAGAAAAAAGAAGATGTATTCTTTGCGTTGCTCCTTGGAGCAAACCAAACTTGGCATAACTCAACCAAAATTAGACACTGTGTACTCTACTGGGGTGTGCTCAGTATTTGGGAAAGTTCTGTGTGACTTACAGGTGACCCAAATTTGAAAAGGGTCCCTGGAAAAGAAATAACTTTTTCTATAGTTTCTACAACTACTCAAGCAGATAGTGGATTAAAGCCTTAACTGGCACTTGATTTAGAGGTCACCGGGACCAGATGACCCCGAAGGCTACAGTGGTCTCCAGTACTCAAGCTGTTATCTTAGTTTCAAAAATCCTCCTAGGAAACTCTCTTGACACGGCTACTTTATAGTATAACAGAAAGGTGTAAGAGCAAGTTTTTCCCCCATATTCATTAGCTGAAAAGTAAACATGGAGAAGCCTTGAAGCCTTTTTTTTTTTTTTTTTTTTTTTTTTTTCTTAGAGTCTTGCTCTGCCGCCAGGCTGCAGTGCAGTGGCGCGATCTCGGCTCACTGCAATCTCTGCCTCCCAGGTTCAAGTGACTCGCCTGCCTCAGCCACCCAAGTAGCTGAGGTTACAGGTGTGCGCCACCACGCTCGGCTAATTGTTGTATTTTCACCACGTTTGCCAGGCTGGTCTCTATCCCTCGACCTCGTGATCTGTCCGCCTCGATCTCCCAGAGTGCTGGGATTACAGGCGTGAGCCACCGCGTGTGGCCTTTTTATTTTTTCTCTTATAAAAAAAGATGATTGCTTTGTTTTCTCCAGGAATCTTAAGAATAAATCTAATATTTCTATTCTAAACTTATCAGAGGTCTTCTTCCAAATGGAGAATCCATTTTTTCTAATATGACTTGATTCTTCCCTGAATTCCTGCACTCGTTTCACGATTCAGTCATTACATGTCAGATTGTGATCCAGAGCCGGAAGACAAATGGGCTCCCATGGAGGATCCCTGCAGGACGGGTGCAGTGGGTGGTGGGAGGGAACACGGGTAATACACAGAACAATTACCTTATTAAAGTAGGACAAAACAGACAGTCAAAAATAATACAAAGAATTAAAACCAGGTAAGATGATAAACGAGAATGCCAAAAACTGCTTAAGAAAGGGTAGCAGGAAATTACTTTCTGAGAGATGGCATTTATACTAAACGTGGAACAAGGAGACAGAGCCAAATTTTCCCAAAAATTCTGGGGAAAGAGGTTGGAAGGCAGAGGGAAGAGCAAGGGCAAAAATTCTGAGAGAGGAGGTAAGTTAGTGTTTTCAAGGAAAAGCTGGAGCTTTCATTTGAAAATCAGATTCTGAAGCTAAGAACCAATTTGTAAATACAGTACTACATCACTTCAACTAGAAAAGTATGGCATAAACCAGCAGTCCCCAAAAGTTTTTTGTTTTTACTTAAAAAGTCATACAAAAATTTTCATTCCAGGCCATAATGTACTAATTTAATTGGAGGAAACATGGGGACTGGTATGATGTCATCCTGCCTACTTTATTCATTCCTGTATCCCCAGAATCTAGCACAGTTCCTGATTTGTATTTATAGTAGGATATTGGTTGAATAAGCAAAGAAGTGTAGGCAGGGAGAAAAAGAGACAAGCAGAGAGGGAGAGGAAGCGAAACTCCGTCTCAAAAAAAAAGAAAAAAGAAGACAGGAGGGAGGAAGAGAGGGAGGCAGGAAGGGAGGAGAGAGAAGGGAAGGGAAGAGATGGGAGGAAAAGAAGAAGGAAAGGAAAGAGGAAATATTTGTTTTCATCTGGTCAGACACAGTGAGTGCTCGGTGAAGACAGATCATGATTATCCTGTGCGTGTGATTCACACCCCTGCAGGTAAATCAGTCTGAAAAGTACATATTTAGAATGTAGAATGACTAAATGAAGAAACAAGGCAGATCTTCCCCCGCCCCCCCCCCCCCAACCAGGGATCCAAGAAGAGAGCCTTGCTAGCTGTCTATTTAATTATTACAGGAAAGAATTACAGGAACTGTATGCCGGGGAATACAGGACTATAAATTCTTTAAAAGCAAAACCTGTGTCTTCACTTATGTGTCCCACACATTGTCAGCCACATAGTCAGCAGTCAATATCAACTACTCAAAATGACAAATCTCAAAAGACTAGAATTTTGTGGCAGACTAGTTTAGCCATGAAAAGTCATTTAACCCCAGAGGGCCTCAGTGTTCTTATGCCTATTCAATCAAGCACTGAGTAGATGGTTATATTACAATACAATCATTTTTCATCTGTAAACCCCATTGAACCCCCAAAATTCAGCCTGAGATGAGCTGGACTAGTCACCAAACCTATAACTATCTTTAGCATGGTGTGAAATACGGTTTTTAGAAAGCAATGGACACCCCACTGTGAACTCCTTTGCAGAAAAGGTCTGAAGAGAGGGGAAAGTAGGGATGGTATCTCAAAGTTGCTTTGTAGTGATTTTCAAAAAGAAAAATTAGCCTAACATTCTTGTGATAAATTTCTTTTCACCTTGGTTTCTAGAAAACTATTCAAAACATCTATGAGCCTGTTTGTGAAGTAAACTTTTGAGGAATTTCCCCCAAGTTATTTTTATAGATTACATTTGACACCAACTGCAAATGTAGTATCTTTTGCCCAAAAAATTCACAATCCTACTTAATGGTACTGACAAAATCAGGTTGGACCTACAATTTTACATCGTAGATTTCCAGCCATTATCATCATATCCACATCTTTAGTAAGTACCTATTGTGTAGTCTTCTAGGATAAATGAACTAAACTAAAACGAAAGCAAATTGAGAATAAATATTCTGGGTTTATCTCTGGGTGTTGTGATCATAAGGCTTTTCTTCTCATTTTAAACACTTTCTAAACTTCCTGCTAAGAGAACCATATAATGTAATCAGAACAAATTATAAAACGTTTTATAAAGCAAACTGAACAAACATAATCTCTGCTTTCTAAGAAGTCTTTAATTTTTATGTTACTCATAGACTATGACCTATACAATTTATTTGGGATATTTATTAAGAATTTCTGTCTAACCCAAATTACTATATGTAAGCACTGGAAAAATGATGTCCTCTTTGTTTGTAGTGTACAAAGTTCTATAACTAGTAGGTTCTGAATAATAACAACCAACACTGATATAGCATTTACTCTGTGCCACGGACTGTTCTAAATCATTTACATTTATTTAATTTTTAAAACTGTAGTAAAATACACACAATCTAAAATTTACCATTGGAACCATTTGGAAGTGTATAATCGGTAGCATTTAATGCATTCAAAACGATGCACACTCATCACCATTATCTAGTTCCAGAACATTTTCGTCACTTCAAAAGGAAACCTCTTGCCCATTAGCAGCCACTTCCAATTCCTCCAGCCCCTGGCAACCACTGATTTGTTTTCTACCTCTACAGATTTACCTATTTTAGATATTTCATATAAATGGAATTATATAATAGGTAGCCTTTTGTGTATGGCTTCTTTCTCTTAAGATAATGTGTTTACCACATGTTCTCACTCATAAGTGGGTGTTGAAGAATGAGAACACATGGACACAGGGAGAGACACATCACACACTGGGGTCTGTTGGCGGGGTGGGGAGCTAGGCGAGGGATAGCAGT